TTATATTCATACAGTACAAAAGCCTAGACTACGATAGTCTAAAATTATTTTCATGAATAAAAATCATGCTTGTATATCACTCAGTTTTCACAACCACGCTGTGAATTAATACAACAGATTTTTGTTGTTGTTATTGTTGTTGTTTGTTTTTTTAAAGATTTATTTTTATTTATGCATATAAGAACAAGGGTACAGGCCAGAGGTGGGGGGTGAGAGGATTCACCAGAGACAGAGTGGGGAACAGAACAGGTGGATCTACTGAAATACATGGATGAGGGGAGCAGCAGGCAAGAAAGGAGAGGTCTGCTGCGCCATATGGGTAGCTCCCTGGGTGGCCAGGGATGGAATTCATGCTGTGGATAGCCTCAGAGTCCTGTGCTTAATCCCTTGCACCACCAGGGAGACCCTTTTTTTTTAAGCATTGATTTAATAACATCTGAGACTTGAATATTAAAGATCACAAGGCACCATGAAAAGACTATATTAGATACAAATTCTCCTAGGTAATCTACTATATGTCAAAACAAAAATAAATAAAACAAGCTTGGGAATAGCATATTTTAACATTCAAATTTTCAAGTTACTTATTTCTGATAAGCAAACCACTGTGTTCAAATATCAGAATAGTATGTAACATAAAATTATGAAAATATCACTTAAAATTAGAACGATATATAAAAATCAAGTATATGATTACGGAAATACCGGATTGACCTGTTGCTAATTGGCTCACACTGCCTTTTTAGAAGAAAAGTGCTGTCAAGTCATGAAAAGTCATGGAGGAATCATAAATGGATGTTCTTAAGTGGAAAAATCCAATCTGAAGACTACGTACTACAATTCCAAGTCTATGTTATCCTGGAAAAGTCAAAATCAGTGGTTTCCAGAGGATGAGGGTGAGGGAGAGATGAATAGATGGAGCACAGAGGATTTTTAGGGCAGTGAATATACTCTGAATGATTACAAGAGTGATGAATCCATGTCATTATCCAAACCCACAGGAGATATACCACCTAGAGTGAACCTTCATGTAAACTATGAATTTTGGGTGATTATGTGTCAATGTGGGTTTGTCAATTATAACAAATGCACAACTCTGGTGAGGGATGTTGACAGTGGGGGGAGGTGGTGCAGGTGTGGGGGTGAGGTATTAGGCTAGCTCCCTACCCTCCTCAATTTTCCTGAGACCCTAAAAGTACTTAAAACAATAAAATTTTATTTTTAAATATACATAAATATAAATAATAAGGATAGAAAAATTCAAAGAGCAAGCACAGATTCTTCCTGTGTAAATCAGAATTTATATATCGAAAGGTCTGAAGTCTCTCAATCAGGATAAAAAATGGACAAAGAATGTACCCACATAACTATAGAATGAGATGTGTATGTCTATTTTTTAAGTCCTGGCTGCATGTTACCAGGAGAGGTCCTGCATTTCTCTGATTGAACCTTTGTGTTAATAACACTAAATGTTTAAAGGTTTCAGATATATGACCCCCTGAAAGCAAGGGTGACAGAGAAAGGAAAAACTATAGGTGTGTGTGTGAGTGTGTGTGTGTGTATTTAACAGTTAACTTCAGGGTAGATATCACCTTTCAGAGCTATCAATGAGATTTCTTTGTCTCTTTGGGAAATTCCATTTTATACCCTGTTTTCATGTCACAGACAAGAATCCTGTCGAGATCAATGCGCTCACAGCACAGGAACGTATAGATAGGAACTTTAGATTATAAATTCACCGCAGGACAAAAATGAATTTGTTTTCATTTTCATGTAGTCTATTTCTAGACAATTCTGCCATTTGTTGCTGACACAGCTATGAAAGTTATAATGGTTAATGTAGTGAAAATTAAATTTGCCTAATTTATGTGCTTTATTTTTAGTAATATTTAAGCTTCTATAATCAAATTTGGCTTAGTATTTCTTAAAAGGCCATACAAATACATGCTTGGTGTGCTCTAAAAAATTAATACTCAAAACATGCCTTCATTTTTTGTCAGACTGCAAGTAATCTATTTGACTCTCCTTGAGGCAATCTGGTTAGAACAGTGTATCTCCAAATTAGGGTAATGCCGGTAATTACATGATATTTAGGATGTGCTAGTTAGGATAACAAACAGAATACAGACAGGGCGATTGTAACTCAGTTTATAGTAGAGATCCAAGGACCTTGACTAAAGTGACAAAATGAGTCTTTCTTAAAAGAAGGTAAATTATTTAGATAATACAATTAAATTTAAGTGAGAAGAAATATGCATGCAAACATACCATTAACAATTCTATTAATGCATCCTAATTTTAATAAACATTCGCTTAGATTTTTTTAAAGATTTATTTATATATGCCTACAAGAACTGGGGGTCAGGTCAGAAGTGTGGGCGGTGAGAGGATTCACCAAAGACAGAGTGGGGAACAGAACAGGCAGATTTACTGAAATACACTGCTGAGGGGAGCAGTGGGCAGGACAGGAGAGGTCTGCTGCCCCATGTGGGTTGCTCCCTGGCTAGGGATCAAACTTGTGCTGCAGTGGCTGTGGATAGCTTCAGAGGTTGCATCTTAACCCCTTGCGCCACAAGGGAGGCCCAACATTCACTTAGATTGGACAAGGAGAATCAACCATATGGCAAAACCTAGGGAAGCACTGGCCGTCCATGAGTGAATGGCACACAACTTTGTTTATCAGGTTTTACTATGGCTTGTGCACACACCATTACAATTACTAAGTTGCTCTAAAAGCAAATTTTAGGAGGGACAGAAAGAAAAAACATTACCCAGGGCAAGACAATGAAGGCTTTAAGATCAGATCTGGGCCAGAAAGTCAGAGAGAACTTCTGGGTGAGATGATGGCATTGTTGGACAATAGGGGGAGAAAGAGCCCCAACATGTGGTACCAAATTCTCTCCTCTCCTTTGGAACCTGTTCTTGTCTCAATGCCCTATCTCCTTTGGAACCTGCTCTTGTCTCAATGCCCAAATGATTTTTTTTTTCTTACAACTCTCCTCAGCACTTCTTTCAGCTTTGCTCCCTAAGTTTGTTTTACGATGAGTAGTCGTATATCACTTCCCAGTTTTAAAGGTCATGATGTGATTCTCTGAGTATGTCCACCATATAATTACATCAACTATGCTATTCCAATACTATCCACAGCCCGTGGGTCCTTGTATTAGTTTCTATTGCTATGTAACACATGATGACACTTTTTAAAACAGCTTTATTGAAATATCCTTGACCTATAAAAAATGCATATCATAGAAAAGAGAGCCTACAACGAAGTTCCTGAAGAATGAAAGCAATTAGAGGGATACAATGACTAGGAGCAGGAAATAAGAGAGAAGGCTGGAAAATTATTTGTATTATAGAACAGGAAGTTATATAAAATGAAGACTGATAATTGACTATTAAATGTGGCAAAATGGAGTCATGGATATTATTTAGTTGATACAGGCTCAGTGACGTGAGGGGTCATTGGTGGGAGTGCATTAAGGAAAAGAATGGGAAGAGAAAGTGAATGTTCCAGCAAAGAGTTTTGCTGTGAAGGAGGGCCAAAGCATAGCACACATGTGTGAGCATGTAAATAAACCATTTTTGTGTTTTTGACCAATATGACCCAAGTTCTTAATTTGCTATGCAGAACTTAATATTAGTTTAATATATAAATATATAGTATTAACAAGACATAGTTATATAGTAGGTATGCGAGCTGAGCAATAGGAAAGAGGTGCCAGAAGGAATTAAAGATGATTCCTGGGCCTCCCCCGGTGGCGCAGCAGGTTGAGCACAGTGCTGTGAAGCTGTCTGCAGCCTCTGCAGCGCCAGTTCAATTCCCAGCTGGCCAAGGAGAATCTCACATGGCGAAGTAGATCTCTCTTGTCTCGCCCTCTGCTCCCCTCAGCAGTGCTTTAGGTCCGTCTGCCTATTCTGCTCTCCACTCCATCTCTGGTGAATCCGCTCACCCTCCCGCCAATCTGGCCTGTACCCCAGCTCTTATATAAATAAAATAAATCTTTAAAAAAAAATTAATAAATAAATAAATAAAGATGATTCCTGCTTCCTATCCTAAGCAAGAATTCTCACCTGGAAATCGTCAAGCTTCAACCTGAAAACCATGAGTTTTAACTACTAACCAAGACTTCCTAGTTCATTGTTTTCTGAGAATGGGGAAGTTTTTCAATTTTTTGATCCTTTTTCCTCAATTTTTATGATTCATCTTAAATCATTCTCTTCTAGAAACACAAAAAAAGTCTACTAACCTTCACCTTCTTCTCCATTACATTATTCAAACATTCTGAACATTGTTATTTTTCCTATCACCAGTTTTCTTTCCTAATCTAACATATCCCAATTATCTTTAGCTATACTGTATCTTTCTAAATCTTTCCATTAGTCTTTTTTATTTGAAGCCACTACATTCTATTAGTCACCCAAATTTAAAACTTTTCAGTTATTTTAACTTCTGTTCTCAAAATTGACATAAATTATTCTCTAAATTATCTTAATTATATCTCCATTGTGCCTTTCACATTCGTTCTGTAGAATAGTGCTAGAGATTTCATAATAAGTTCACTCTATTCTCATTGACTGTTCTCATCAACTTTTTTTTTTTTCTTGTCAGGTCACTATGCCTGTGCATTTTCTTTCTTGCATATTTTTCATTAATAGCTGACACCGGCTGTGCCCACTCTTATTATTAAATGCACACTGTTGAACTATGGATGCACAGAGACAGTCCATGAGAAATCTTACTATCCTGGAATCATAGGGAGTTTTCTCCACTAACTTGAAGTGAGCCAAACCTTGTTTTGAATATTCAAGAGGGCAGGTTTTATTTGTGGGAGCAGAGATTGAGAAAATAAAGGAAATAACAGCTCCAAATTCCCTCCCTGATGTGATGATACCAAAATTACATATTTTTTCAACACTGTTTTAAAGATGCATAATCTGGAACATGACAAAAGGAGCAATCTACCCTTGGTTCCTTTTTTTTTAGAGCGACAACCAGCAGTGCTCGTTTACCTTGATGTGTTTCACTTTTGGCCAAGTGGATAGACTAAAGAACAAACCCACAGAGGTAAGAGAATTCAGTGCTATTTGATAAAGAGTGGCTTTGTTGGCACTTTTCTCTCCGAACAGCAGGATTACTGAAAATAACAGGCTCCAACGCGTTTCTTTCACAGAGTCACCAAAAATAGTTCTTTTGTCATCTCCCTTAATGGAGCTAAAAAGTCACTTTCATAGAAATTAGAAGCAATGCTAAAGCTTGTCTGGTTTCTCCTAGCAGGTATGCAGTTGAGGGCAAATGAACAGTCTCTACTGTTGATTACATGTTGAGCACAAGTTTGGGGGAGGGGAAGCTGTTAGAATAACCAATTTCTTTAGCAATGACCAAAAAAGAAAGAGCAGAGAAAAAGGAAGAAATTGGAGTAAGAGCAAAAAGACAGCACAGGTGCTGCACATTCTTTCTTCCATTCTGGACACAAAGAGCATCACATTTTCCTTCCTATCTTAGTTTGCTTCCCACCTGCCCACATGTCAGAGGTAGAAGGAGGAACGATCTAAACAGTGTCTTCCAGTGGTCGATCAATAGAATTAGTGAATTTTAAATGTTAATGCATTCCATTCTGGACAATGGGGAAGACATTCCAATTCTTCAATTTTTTATCCTTGACTTAGATGTACCAAAAGATAGAAAACCTGTCTAACATGTAATTTATCTTCCGATAGACTTAAAAATGAAAATAAAATATAAAAAGAAAAATTTGCTCATGAAGAAAAATCAATCGCCTGCGTGGCTTGACGTCCAATATTTTTTAGCAAGCATATAACTGTTGTCTCAAAGAGAATAAGAGTGTTTCCAGCAGAATGAAAGGATTTAGTTTTTAGTCTGAGTATATTTCTAATTTTCATATTTATTTCTGTATATTTCCTTTAAAAATCTAATAATGAACAAAGAGCATAGGACTTGCATATGTGTTTGCTTATCCACATTTCAGGAACCTAATAGATGGAAATGCAACTATCTAATAAATGCATCATATAAATCTGCTCATTTCCACCCCTCATTGCTGTAGGAAATGAGAGAAACATAGGGGGATTAATTATTTTATTCAGAAAGGAAGCATATCCACCCTACTTATTGCAGGACTAATAACATAGTATTAATATCATTATTAGATGCCTTATTAATATCGACCACTCCACACTGTTGGGACTTCTTCGGAGTGTAATGGTCAATCTCCAAGAACAACCCCAGAGAGACACTGAGATTGGGGGCAAAGGTGGGACTGCTTCTTGGACTTTGTTTCATGCAGTAACTCTTCCACTTCATCCTTTTCATCTCTAATTTCAGACCATTTCAAGAAGAAAGACTAGATCCCATTTTCCACTGGAAAGACACTCAGAGAATTTGCAGATATGTTTTAAATCCAGCTCAGCAAAGGTGAAAGCTGTCAGAAAACAGGGAGAATCTTGGGAAATGGAACAGAATTGAACAAACATTTCATATCACCAAAGGTTGGTCCTGAAGTTTCTTAAATGGCAGAACCATGACTATAACCTGCTAGGATGAATATTTTCCATCCATTTTCAAACTTTCCACTTCTGATATATCTTAGTCAAAGTAACCAGGCAACTGTACTGGAAGCCAAGTGGTGCTTGTGCAGACAGTGGTGGGACTTAGGAGTGTGAATGACAGCAGCAGTCTCACTGTCTCTCTAAGTCAAGAAGGGTATGCTCAGCCTTTCCCATGGTCAGCCCACAATCAATCAGACCAGGGACAATCTGGAAACTCTCTTCTGTCGTTTTTAGTTTATATTTTATAAAGAACTTTCCAAATTCAGATCCCTTACAGCAAATCTGATGGCGATACTGCAGAATTTATAAATATGGAAATTCAAAATTATCACTTTTGTGAAATAATCTGTCAAACTTTTTTTTAAAGGCATAAGATGAGTCTTTATTAGGAAGAAAACCTGGTAATCACTATCTGCAATCACTGATCCATCTGGATTTGCCTTTCTGTTGGTTTATTTGACTTAGAGAAATTACATCATAACTATCTTAATTGAAATTTCTGGCTGTACATCTAGCACTTAAGCCATATAAATATAAATAAATAAAACGTACTTCATAAATTTTACTAGCAATTTATGTCATTTTCTATGAACAATCTTAAGCAATATGTTGGATTTTTGCATTTTCATCAAAATGAACACAAATTATCTTAGGAACAACTAATAGTAATTTTGCAAACTTCTATGTCTATAAAATGCCATATAGAAGCAAATAAAAATAATATTAGATATTAAGAAGTAGATTAGAGGGCCTTCCTGGTGGCCAAGGGGTTAAGACGCAACCTATAAGCTAACTGCAGCCACTGTAGCAAGATTCGATTCCTGGCCAGGGAGCAACACACATGGCGCAGCAGACCTCTCCTGACTCGCCCGCTGCTCCCCTCAGCAGTGTATTTCAGTCAGTCTACCTGTTCTGTTCCCCACTCTGTCTCTGGTGAATCCTCTCCCCACACCCCCCCACCCTGCACCTCTAGCCTGTACCCCAGCTCTTGTATGCATAAAAATAAAATAAATCTTTTTAAAAAAGTAAATTAGAAATAATTATTGGAGGTTTAAAAATGTAATATAAAATTATTATGATCTAGATAACCTAGAAGATAAATTTTGTAAGTTTTAGGCAACCTATCATCATTCTTGTGATTCAAAATTCAATAAATGCCTACAACTGCCTAATGCTGTAAAGCATAATGAAAGTGTCAAAGTGGAATAGAATGAAAATGATGACATTAACATTTGTAGCCATTGATCACTTTCAAACTATAGTTGAGGCCTGAGTGCAACAGACATCTTTTCCAGTTTTCATAATCAAACATATACAACTTGTTTCTACAATGGCATCCTTTGCTTGAAATGGAAATGCACATGTGTTCTCATGCCATTGTGTCTAAGGAGGGTGATTGCTCTAAAGCCTGCTTTTCATTTATTTTGGAAACAACAGGAACACAAATGGGTATTTAGGAATGGAGATACCCATTAATATTAGTCATGATTTACAAGGTAATGGCTTGGTAACTTTAACTGTATTAGCTACATCCTTAGCTTTATAACACCCAACAAACACAATTCAATTCATTTCCTGTACATATTCACTACTCAAGGAATTTATATGAGTGCCACTGGATGCCAAACCCACATCCAATGTTCAAGGAGCTTAAAGTCTAATAGCAGAGAGAAGCAAATTGAGCATTCTAATGCTGTTTGCTGATGGTGTGATAAAGGATGCAAGCCTTGTGAGTCAGGGGATATTTCATGGTGAATTTAACGTCTAATATTAAAAAGAACCAGACTGGAAAGATGCAGCTTGCTCAAAGGACTACGAGGACTGGGTGCTAGGGGAGGGGTGAAGACACAGCATAGAGGGGTCTCTTGCAAGCAGCTTATAGTTTGTGGTGAATCCACCCATGCTGAGAGACATGTGCCATCAGCAGCCACAACCTTGGCTTTGACCATGGCTTGCTCTATGTTCCATTTCATTGAATGACTGGGATTTTACTAAGCAGAATTGGACTTGCCTTATCATTTGTTTGTTTACTTGCAGCAATGCCTTGATGGCATGTGGGGTCTTGCATGAAATATATATGCTGCATTATTCTTTATGTTGAAGATGCAGAGATTCTGAAATGAAGGAATAATATGGGACTTATAAATTTCTTTTGCCATTTAATTTTAAACTTTAGAAAGTACAGGTTTACTTAAATATACAACACAAAAGTTTCCATCTTCTTCTTCATCAGAACATTGATCTCTTTCTTTTCTTTTACTTTTTACATTCTTCCTTTTTTTTTTTTTTTTTGCATTAGTTCCTTTACTTCTAGAGTAAAATTGACTGACAGAATTCAATTTGTAGGTTCCAACTGAAGCTGTCTTTTGATTATAACTCTAGTGTTTGAGTCTATGAATGGAACATAGATGAATAACCAACCCTAAGACTGAGTGACATTTAATAAAAATACTATTTGTTTAACCTGATTGTGATGTTTCTGAATCATAAAACATTGAGCATTATGATGGCTGCCAGGCTATCTTATCTGCTACTTGATTTTAAGTGACATCTGTGGGATTTTTATGTAAATTGATGTTTTCTTTTTCTTACTTACACATCAGAAAGTAAAAGGATTCAGATTTTTGACATCACCGAGTATTGTAGGGGCGAAATAGTAAATGTCTTTAGGAGAAGTATGGCTTTTATTCTGGAAAGCATGACACATTATAAACCTCTCCATCAATGTAATCAGCCTCCTGACATGAAAATAGCAGTGCTAGACATACATCTATTTCCATATCAAGCAGAAGGCTGTAGGTGAAAACACAACACAGAAGGTTAGTCATTGGAAAGAAAGTGTATGGGTACATTCTGAAGATATTTGTTTAATATTTGTGTTTACTTTGCAAGGCTGTGCTCCCTTTGGTTAATCTCCAGGGTGTTTTGGCAAGTCTGTCACCTGAAGAGCATGACTAATCCAGATTGTGACTCAGTAGATCAAGAGAGATTAACCTGCTCACAAAATATTCATTTCATGGGTGAGGAGCTCTCTGGATTGCCATCCTGTTCTACTTTGTAATACTCTGAGCGTATTCCACAATCCAAGAGCTCCATTTCAGCGTATGTTTTCATTTTATTTTCTTTTTTCTCTCTGATTTCCCAGGGTCTCTGTTTTTCCTTTTTGAAAACTGGAGTGATTGCTGCTTAGTATTTACCCAAAGAGTTGAAAACTTATGTTCATGCTAAACCTGCACATGGATTTTATAGCAGCTCTATTTATAATTACCAGAACTTTGGAGTAAAGAAGATTCCTTCCCTGGAAGAATGAATAAAATGTGGTACATCCAAATAGTGGGATACAATTCAGCACTAAAATGAAATGAGCTATCAGTGATGAAAGGATACAGGAAACTTTAAATGCATATTACTGAAAGAAAGAAGCCAATCTGAAAAAGACTACATACTGTGATTTCAACTCCATGACATTCTAGAAAAGCAGAACTATGGAGAAATTAAAATGATCACAGCTTGCATGGGGAAAGGAAACTGAGTAGATGAGCACAGATTTTTAAGGCAGTGAAACTACTCTGTATGATGAATACAAGTTGATAACCATTTGTCCAAACCCATAAAATGTACATCAGCAAGAGTGAACCCAATGTCAGCTATGGACTTTGGGTGATGATGATGTGTCAATGCTTGTTCATCAGCTTCATCAAATGTACCATCTGGTGAGGGATATTAAATTGGGGGGAGCAGTGTACCTGGGAACTAGGCCAGGGAATATATGTAAAATCTTTTCACTTTCCTCTGAATTGTGCTGCAAACCTAAAATTGTTTAAAAAAATAAAATCCTTAAAAAACATTAATACTGTGTGACTGGGAAAATTGACTATAACTTCTCATGTGATATTAATATTAGGATTGAGAATATAATTTGAGAAAATTTAGAATATAATTCAATGCTTTTGGATGTGCCGATGAAAACTTTGGAGCGTAGCTGGACTTCGTGCTCAATATTATTGAAGACTCGTGGCTATTTTGTCACTGTCTCAAACACCTTCCAATGCCCACATTACCTACTAGACCTCAAACATTTAATTCATTGAGAAGATTATCTTGAATGAAAGTGAAGGTTTAAGTCAGTATTGAAACATCCACACACATGGGGGCCTCCCTGGTGGCGCAAAGGGTTAAGCACCACACTATGAAGCAAACCGCAGGCTCTGCTGCATAAGTTTGATTCCCGGCCAGGCAGGGAGCAACCTGCATGGCGCAGCAGACCTCTTCTGTCTCACCCGCTGCTCCCCTCAGCAGTGTATTTCAGTCTGCCTGTTCTGTTCCCAACTCTGTCTCTGGTGAATCCTCTCACACCCCACACCTCTGGCCTGTCCCCCAGCTCTTGTATGCATAAATAAATAAATGTTTAAAAAAAAAAAAAGAAAGAATCATCTGCACACATATTTGTTACTAAAATGTGTAGAAATGGATAACACCAGAGGAACCTCAGTCAACAACACTTCACTCCTGGGTGTGGGGATGTATCTGTGAGAATGAAGGAGAGAAGCTAGCGTGAGCAGCGTTCATCAAACAAAGTAGGTCTGACCTCTCTGTAAAATGTCCACTCACTACATTATTTATCTCTTCCAGCTGCACTTTTTTGCTTATTTTCTTCCTCTGGGCTGTTAGTTTTTACTACTTTATATTGCCAGGGTCTCTTCTAACTTCCCATCTCTAGCCTGCTGTTTCTATAATGAAGTAGATTAGGACTTGAGAGACTGACATGTTCTCAGACAACTGAAACGCAAAGCTTTAAGTCTGGTCTCAATAATTCAGGCTACCAGAGGAGAAAGGAGGGGTGGGGGGACAGGAAAATGGGCAGGAGGCACAATGGACTCTGGTGGAGGACTATAGGTGCCTGGGTAGTGAGTGTGGTATGGGAAGAACACTTGAAGAGTGTGGTCCTATACCTCTAAATCATCTACAATGCTGTAAACCAATGATACTGCAGTTAAAAAAAAAAAAGAAAATGAAAAAAAGAAGAAAAATATTTCCTACTCTTCAGTATGTTTATAACTGTTTCGAATGTATGTCTGCATTTAGTTCTTCAGGTTTAATTAGAGGTAAAATCAATAACCCTTTCCTAAAAACCAGTAATATTGCATGAAAAGGAGTTCACTTCCCAAGTTTTTTAACAAGAAGAATAATAATGCATGTCAACCCCAAATTTACAACCAGTTTCCTAAAATATAACAGAAACAATAAATGATCCATGTACAAATTTTAAAAAGTTTGCTCCTTGTGACAAAACACAGGCTGGCTAATTTCCAAGATGACAGAGGTTATAGGAGGAAAATGAAGGTATTATACGCATCAATTTTTATTTACTATTTCCTTTTGTGAACTAAGTAAAAAATTGAACATAAAATTGGAGATAAGGGTTCTTAATTAATAAAAAGTAAGGAAAAAGAAAAAGAAATTTGCAGCTAGATAGTAAGGAAATAAATTGTCTCACAACTTGTTTAATACATACATACCTGTTTGCAAATAGGTTTAATAGATTTTATTTCTGAATTTTTAAGGTAGCATCTCACTCAATGTCATTTCACAGATGAGTAGTTTGATAAGATGTATGATTTTTATATAATTTGTCTATAATACAAAAACACTTAAAATAAAATACAACCTATTGTTAAATGGCATCGTATAATCCTTTCCCTGCAGTCAATCTTATTTGAACAAATGGATAATAAATTTTAAAAATGATCTCTAAAACAATCTCACCAACACCACCAGAAATGCTGGGAAACTGCCTGCTGATCTAGCTCACAGACACAACAGCATCATAAAACTGTAAAAGACCTGCTGTTTTTGCAATGATTTATTTCACAACCAATAATTAAAAGATTAGGAAATTCCATCTATTGTTACAGATGTAGGGTGCCTAGTTGTTCCCACCCTCAGGTTCTAGGTTTTACATTGAGTCATCCATAGGATCCAGCCTCCAAATCTTCCATAGAAGTTTTCAGGTATTAAAGGATTTACCTGAGTTCATTACAAGGACTTATCTTAAATTTAAACTAAAACTTAGTGTCACTGAAGACATCTGCTTATCTAGTCAAATCCATGGATACCTGGAGCAGCAAACATTTCCTGAATGAGGCAAGAGGCAGGTTCTTATGAATGATCTGGGCAAAAGTTTTCAAAATAGCAGTAAATAATTTTCAAGATTATCAAATTTGCTACTGGAAGAGTATGAGACTACAGATACAGGAAATTGGGGGGTATCAAAAGTTGTTCAAAGGGAATGAGATCACATCCACAGTTTTGGAAGATGGCATCATGAGGTGTCTGGATTTTTTCTTTCATTCATCACTTCCCTCCACTACAGTTCCTCAGAGCCCCTGAACTTGGCCACATTCCTGAACTCCCACACTGGGACAGTAACATTGTTTGACCCATTGATTCTGGCTCATAGTTTTAGCTGTAAGAATTGTCTTTCTTTAAGCTTTTGATATTCCATGAGCTCTCCACTATTCTCTGAGATTTTCTTTTACTCAAACACAAATTTGCAGTTAGAGAGCAACTTTATTTCCATTTAGATTGCTCTTGTCTCAGCAAGACACCCAAGATTTCAGGTACAACAGCCTATTGAGCAAAGTCAGCTATATTCTTTTATATGAATTTAGCTCATTTAGTTCAGTTCTTATGTTTTTAAAAACACATTGCTTTGAGAAAATGTAAACAAAATTATACTTAATCCAACTCTTCCCATTAGCATGTAAATTGTAACTTACTTGAATAGCACCACATCTTGTAGTGCTTCTGTAAATCACTGGAAAGAGAGGCCAAGACTTAATAAATAATTTCAGTAATACAAAAATCCCAGGAATGATATATTCTACTTTATAGCTACACAAAAATATACTCATTGGGGATATACACCTGAAGAGGTATAAATCCATTTCCCTGAATCATATTCAATGTTGAAAACTAATGCCACCTCAATAATAAAAATTAAAAAAGAATTTTTTTTTAGGTTAACATTGCTTAACAATGGGCCTCCCCGGTGGCGCAGCGGTTGAGCGCTGGGTTGCGAAGCTGCCCGCGGCCTCTGCGGCGCCGGTTCGATCCCCGGCTGCTCCCCGGCCACCAGAGGAGGGTCCCACATGGCGCGCAGACCTCTCCTGCCGCCCGCTGCTCCCCTCAGCAGTGTACTTCGGTCCTTCTGCCTGTTCTGCTCCCCGCTCTGGCTCTGGTGAATTCTCTCACCCTCCTGCGCTTCTGACTGTACCCAGTGCCTGTATAAATAAATAAATAAAATCTTAAAAAAAAAATTAAAAAAAAAAAAAAAACATTGCTTAACAACATTATATATGATTTAGAGGTATAGGATCTCCCCCTTCAGGTATTGTTACCACACCACACCTACTACCAAACACCCATAATCCTCTACCATTGTCTACTTCGCTCTTTGTTCTTCTCCCTCCCTCTCTGGTAACCTCAGTTCTACAGTCACATTTCTAGTGTTTGCTATTGGTTTGGCTTTATCTAACCCTTTGTTTTGTTTCTCATTGTATAAGTGACACGATCTAGTATTTGTCTTTCTCCTGACTTATTTCACTTAGCTTAATTCAGTTCCCTCCTTGATACTGCAAATTGCACAGAGTTTATCTTTTTTTTATAGCTGGTTGGTATTCCCTGTGTGTATTTACCACATCTTCCTCATCCACACCAGTGTTATTGGGCACTTAGGTTGTTTCCGTAGCTTGGCTATGGAAACAATGCTACAATGAACATAGGTGTGCATATATCCCTCTAAATTAGTGGGGTTTGTTGTGTGTGTGTGTGTTTTGTCTTCTTAGGAGTGGAATTTCTAGGTCATATGGTATATCAATTTTCAATACTTTGAGAATTTTATTCTCAATTATAATAATAATCCTGAGACCCTAACGCTTATGTACTTCTCTTTATATTCACTTTTATTCTGGTTTCATTTTAATTGCTACTTAAAATTATTTTCTATTTTAGGTAGAATGTTACTAGAAATAATAATACAATGACTTCTCAATAAAAAAAGAAAATTGTGGAACAACATATAAAGATACCAATTTTATCATGGGCTGATTGCTATAAGAAAAGAGTTAAGTTCCTACAGCATACTTCTGGTCATGAAAATATCATCAAACTTTCAAATAAAGACTCAAAACACTTCTAGTATTAAAAATATACATATATGCTCACCCATTCTGCTAATAGACATTCAGTTCATTTCCATTTTTCCCATTATTTTAACATTACTATGTATCTTTATTTGACTATTAAAATTTCATTTTCTGTGAATTGCTTATTCTTCTCTTTTGGTCTTTCTATTGGTGAGAGAACTTTAAATAGTTCAATTGCTAATTCTTTATAGATTACATGCACTGCCAATGTATTTATTTTTCCCATTTGTTACTTGTAAGTTATAGTTAATATAAGTATTGTATCAACTACTTAATGTATTATTTTATATCAGTCTATTTGTATGTATGTATGTATGTATTCATGTATGTATCTATTTATTGTCTTCATAATTTTTGTTTTTCCTTTATGATTTTGTTTAATTCTTTTTCTCCTTTATGGTCATAGAGATTTTTCTTTATTTTCTACTGCATTTTTAAAGTTTTGCTTTTCACATTTAGTTTCCCATTTGGTAAAATTTTTATTTTTCTATCATCTACTTTTTCAACCTGGAGATCCAATTTCCAGTAATATTTATTGAAACAGAAACAAATATTTTTTTAATCCATAACAGGATCTAACAAATTCTCTGGGACAAACCTGATGCTATTGGAAT